AGGTACTCAGGGGCATAGGAGACTCTAATCCAGTCTGGAGGTGTCAGGTCGGCAGGTCAGAAAGTTGTTGTCCTTAGTTGCCCGTGTTCTTCAGCCATTTTGTAGCAGAAGACATATAATGTATCCTCAGAAGGAAAGGGCTTTGGAATAATGTCCTCTTCTGTCTTGTTACCCAGATGCCTGCCACATAGTAGCTGCTCAATCAAAATTTGTTGAATAAATAAATGAGAATTCTAATGCTCCATAATAATTCCATTGTGACAGGGGTCCTTTGAGTTATTTCTAACTTTATATTTATTCTGAATATTCTTAAACACTTCTCCTCTAAGCTTGACATAAATGAATGTATCCTTTTGACTTACGAATTCAAGTCTCTGCTCTTTTTTTTTTTTTTTGAGACAGAGTCTCGCTTTGTCGCCAGTCACCATCTCAGCTCACGGTAACCTCAGCCTCCCGGGTTCAAGCGATTCTCCTGCTTCAGCCTCACCAACAGCTGGTATTACAGGTGCGCACCACCATGCCCGGCTAATTTTTGCATTTTTAGTAGAGACGGGGTTTCACCATGTTGGCTAGGATGATCTCGATGTCTTGACCTCGTTATCCACTCGCCTCGGCTTCCCAAAGTGTTGGGAGTACAGGCGTGAGCCACCGCGCCCAGCTTCTGCTCTCTTTTAAGCCATTACTAAAAGCTCTAGTCCAAGAAAGCTCCTGTACCCATTATATTTTACCAGAAAGAGAGCTCCCCAGGTCTCTTTTAAACCAAGTTCCCTGAGTAGGGATTCTAGGACAATCTGGTAAAGTGCAGACTGGTTGCTTTTTCCCTGTGTGTTTTTTTTTTTTTTTCAGTTGGTCTGTGGATTTGATGCTCTGCTCACTTTCCAGACTTCTGAAAAACTTGTTCTTCCTTTACCTGGGCATCATGGCCTGGAAATTTCTCTTACCTCACTTCTCCCCAGCGCTTTCACTCTTCAAACGGTATTAACTTTGGGGAACCAGTTCTTAATTATTTGCCACACAATTTTCTGGAAGACTACAAGAATCCAGGACAAAGCTAGAGGGAGAGGCCAAAAGTAAACTGAAAACCTAGGCTAATGATTTTCCTGAGCAAGAGTTTTTGTTATTATAATGCAGTATTTTACATAGGTTGTAATTCTCAAGAGCAGGTGTTGGGTTATGTCTTCTTTATGCTCACTTGGAATGAATGCCCTTGTGCTATTACATTATTTTCCCTAATGAAACAGCAGCAAATATAGGCAGCAAAATAATGTTGGTGGTTGAAGCAAATGCCACAGGGAAACCAAAGCTTCCCAGGGGAAGAGAGAAGTTAACTGGGAGCTGGTAATCTTTTTGGTGAGTTGGCCAGTGGCCAGGTTTGTATGTGATTTTACATTTTTCTACTTGCATGATCTTACTTCCTAGACCGATCCCACTATTTAAAATTGTACCTTATCGCTTCTCGGCCTTTTGGCTAAGATCAAGTGTAAAATTGTACCTTGTTCTTTTCTCTGTTTTATGTTTCTTCAGAGCCTTTAACTTCATTATGAAATTTACTTATTAATATTGTCTGACATTCAGAACCTGTGAGGCCACTTGTTCCTCTCTAGTTCATTATCAGTGCTCAGACCAGTGGTTGAGTTTGTTCAGGCCCACATAGGTGAGAGAGGAAGGTACCTGGATCTCAGCCAAAAGTTTACTTGCCTTCTACTCAAATTAGCCCAGTTTTGCCTACACTAGATTGGCCCTAAAAGCCTGAGAGTCTTGGGAGGAGGAGAAGCTGGAGCAGCCACTGAAGTCTTCATAGCATACTAACCTGTCATTGTCAGAAAGCATCTGCTATGATTATGACAACCTCAAATGCAGGAGACACTCCCAAATAATTAATATGTTCCTCTATTCATCTTTTATGTTTTGAGTTCCCACAAGCTGCCTGATCCTGTACTAAGATGAAATCAAATGATAATGCTTCATCCAGAAATGGAAATATAAAACTAGTGAGCCTCACTGTGTCATGGGGGTGGCAAGCACCCCTGGCCTTACTGCCAGACAGTTATGAGTACACTGAAACAAATCATGTCCTTAGCTTTAGGGATTCAAGGCTACCTGCTTCAGGAAACCTCAAGGATTTTCCATTCTCATCAGCACAGGCTTATTCTTCCATGTATATGTTTTTGAGGAGCATATCATGATGATAGAAATGGGATCCATGTGAGTTTTGACCATCAAAGCTTTTGCAGAGGTCCTACTGTAATATTTTGTCTAATTACAAGATTTATATAAAATAATTTTTATGCCCAGCCATTTATTTTATTTTTATTTATTCATTTATTTTGAGACAGAGTTTCACTCTTTTTGCCCAGGCTGAAATGCAATGGCATGATCTCAGCTCACTGTAACGTCCACCTCCCGGGTTCAAGCAATTCTCCTGCCTCAGCCTCCCGAGTAGCTGGGATTACAGGTGTCCACCACCACGCCTGGCTCAATATTTTTTGTATTTTAGTAGAGACGGGGTTTCACTATGTTGGCCAGGCTGGTCTCGAACTCCTGACCTCAGGTGATCCACCCACCTCGGCCTTCCAAAGTGCTGGGATTACAGGTGTGAGCCACCATGCCCAGCCCAGCCAGTTATTTATAAAATCAATACATGTAGGAAAAAACTCTATCATAGTTACTTTTTTAATATTGCTTTCATCAGGATTAATAACTCATTTATTCAACAGATAAATGAATTATTGCACACCTATCCTGTACCAGGCCACTTCTATGCCCTGGATAAGTAATAAAACAGACAAAAGTTCCTGAGATGTCAGACAATATTAATAAGTAAATTTCATAATGAAGTTAAGGGCTCTGAAGAAACATAAAACAGAGAAAAGAACAAGATACAATTTTACACTTGATCTTAGCCAAAAGTGGATGAGTCCAAAACGATATGGCATTGCAAGCGAATTCTCTATGGGACTTTTCTTTCTTTTTTTAGGACTTTTCTTTCTTTCTTTTTTTGTGATAGCCATTCTGGTTGGTGTGAAGTGCTATTGTACTGTGGTTTTGATTTGATTTTCATTTCCCTAACCACTAATGGTTAGCAAAAACTTTCTCATGTGTAAATTGGCTGTTTGTACATGCTCTTTGGAGAAATATCTATTCAAATTTTTGGCCCATTTGAAAATGGCTTGTCTTTTTGTTGTTGAGTTCTTTATTTTCTGCCTTAAGAGTGGAGGATGGTTGGAGGAAGAGAGCCTCAGACCTCTCAGTTGCTGTCATCTAGAACAGAGCTCTGCAACACAAAGCTGGGGATCATGAGTAATGTGACAGCCTGCTTCTCTCAGGGTATACTACAGAGTATGATCTAGGTTGAGAGGGGGCCCTGTGTTACTGGCTCCACCTATCCATAGTGAAACACCTTCACACTCAACTGGAGGTTGCAGGGAAATGTGTTGTGGTTCAAATGCCACAATTGTTTGCAGTTCTTACTGAAATATAAGAGATTGTCTTGAATAAATATTTTCCTCATGCTGTATGTTCTCAGGACAATTTCCAGGAACTTTAAATGGTTATTTATCTATATTTTTCACCAGTTATTGTTGTTTTTAAGGAATGGATTCGAAAAGCTCTTTATATCACCATTCTGGAAGTGAGTCCCATTTGGATCTTTTTAAATAAATATTTTGTTACTTTTATACTTGCTGGTAAAATAGTGGTAAAACTGTACTTCATAATTAGCATAGTAGATATAAAATTGCTGTACAATTATAAAGGGCAGTTTTTATAAAAGTAGTTGCAAATTTACAAACAGTGAATTAAAATCAATGAGAGTTGAAGACTGGTTGACTTTCAATTTCAAATCTAGTCAAATTCTAGAATGACCGTGCTTTGGTTTGACAAATAATTTTTAATTTATTGTCATTAAATAGTTGTAAAGAAATATCTGGATAATGAGGATGACAGTGCATTTCATACTACAGCTTGTTAGTTTTGGTCTAGTTATCTATGTACAAAGCCATCACAGACATTGAAATAGTCACCAAAATGACACCTGTTTTAATCAGCATAGGAATAATTCAGATGTGGAAATCAAGTTCTTAAAATTCAATACCTTTATGTATACATTTTAAAATTTCATTAGCAAAAATGACCATGCTTTTCTTAATTTTTGTCTAATTCAAAATAAGTACTGCACGACAAAGTCTTCTAGTAAAACAACTTTCCCAACTCCCCTGATACAGTTATTTGGACTTTGGGGTCTCTTACATTTAACAATTCTTCAAGCTCCTTATCTGATCATGTACTGGGTTCATATGTGAATTGCCAACCAGTTGAATATCACTTTAGTTGAAACAAATCTGGAGTCCCACTCATATTTAAAATGCCTCTCTATACATTTTCCCCACTTTTCCTATCCTTACGGCCAAGTTAACTATTTAGCTAACTCTAGCTAGCTGTCTTTTGGTGAAGAAGTTTGGTTACTTATAAAGGATCACATAAGTATCTTTGAGAAAATACATACTGCTTAATATGTATAAGAGAATGTTAAAATATATTCCTTGTTAGAAGTTCTTCACTTTTTGGCAGTTGACTTGTGTATACTATTGCCTAAAGTACAGCAATTTAAATAACTTACGGGCAGAGAGGGGTTGTATAAGAGCACGGAACTAGGTAAAGATGAATAAGAAGGAAACCAAGCACCTCCCAATGATATTTCCGTGAATACTTAATGGACTACACAAAGATAAATAGTGAAAATAGCAAAGTAATTTTCTCTTCTTTTGGTTTGGAAAGTTTCAGTGTTAAAGTCTGGCTTCTGTTGAGTGAAACATCTTAGTTTCCCACATAATGAAAGGTAAATGGAAAAACCCACCAATTTTGAAAATTGTAATGCAGTTAAATAGTAAACTGATAAATTGCATTAAAGCTCACTATTAATTTTTTCCCCTATAGAGAAAGGAATACTATCCTACTAAAGCTACTTTACAGTTCAAGTAGGTATTTTGGAAGATGCTTACCTCCCGGTTGGGTGTATCTCCCTGCGGCTTAGGTGAGCGCCGAGGCTTTGGCTCCTCCCCAGCTGCTGCGAGCTTCCCACTGCGCCGGGCGCCTGGGAGCCTCCCCGAGTTAGGTGTTCGGCCCCGCCCTCTGGACTATTGCTAAAACTCCAATTCTACCAGGCTGATTCCCTTGATTAATTATTGACAAAAGGAAAACACTCCTACGCAAACTTGTGTCCAACCGCGCTGCTCCCAGCGACTCCTTCCAAAAGAGAATGCCCACTGCAGCGCTCCCCTCCCCCCTTGCTCTATGGTCCCAACTTCTCAGACGCTGCCACTCTCAGTCCTGGGCGATCAGACTGGTCCTCAGAGGAATGCAGCTCAACGACTTCTACGTTTAAAAATTTGGTTTTCTGCAGCTCGTTCGCACTTCTCTTGGGACCAGCCTCTCGGGAGGGGGCGCTTTCCCAATGCAGGGGAAGCCGGGGCTGCGAGAGCAACAGAGGCAGCTGAGGCGTCGCTGTCACCTCCGGCTGCTGCAGTAAAACCCCGAGCCGAGGCGGGGACGGGGAGGAGGGGATAGGGAGGCGCCCTCCCCCGCGCTGGAGCTGGGATCCCCGACACTACTGAAGGGGCACGTCCTTTGGCGGAGGTAGAGGGGCGGGCCGAGGAACAGGAGCTGCGAAGGTGGGAGCTCTGGGGCTTTAGCCCAAGCCGCGTTAAAGCGAGCAGGGAAAGCCCGCGCCCTGCATCCCTCGGGCCGCAGACTTCGGCAAGGGGGCGAGAAGCCCGGGTGTCAGCAGAGCAGGACTGCGGTTTCAAACTCGGCGTCAGGCTGCGAAGTGAGCCCGGGGCTCAGGCCGGGCGGCAGGCGGCCAAGAAAGCATCCCACCCAGGTTTGTCAAAAACCGAAGAAAGCAAGCCATTTGAGCACCGGCAGCTAATTCTGGTGCCTCTGAATGTGCGAAGCGCCCCTCCCCGCCCCACTCGCATCCTGCCACCTTGCCCGCGGTAGCTGGGAGGTTAATCGTTAAAAAGGTGGACTCCCTCCGGGGAAACGGATGGAAGGATCGTGCCCGGAGAACTTGTGTGTGCCCACTGACAAGTGCAGAGAATTAATCTGGGCCCGGACTGCGGCAGGAGGGCGAACTGGGGAAAGAGGGCTGGGAGGCGGCGCGGTGGTGCAGAGACGCGCGGCGCCTGCTCCCGCGGCCCCCGGGCCTGGCGTGCCCTGCGCTGACGCTCTGCTCTCGGATCTCTTCCCCCGAGGGCGCGGGACCGGCGTGAGCACCTTCCCTGGGAGCCCACATCCATCACCAGAGATGGCCTCTCCATCGAGAGCAGGGCTTGCTGAGAGCGGCGGAGGACCCTGAAGGCTCCGCGCTCTGTATCTCCGTGGCAGAGACGCTTTCTGCTCGAGGCCCAGGGGAGTCCGGGAGCGAAAGCCTCTTCTGATGAATGAGCATGTGGGCAGCATCTGCCCATCAGCCCCCACTACCGAAGGAGGAGAAACTGCACATGCTCTGCCAGGGCTGATTGTGCTGAAGCGCGAAATTTTAGCTGCTGGCAGGTCTCTGCTCATCCTCACAACGCGCTTTCAGCGGGTTCCACACTGCCAGGGCTACGAAGAGGGAGGCTCACGTTATTGGGCGGTGGTGTCTTCATGCAGGAGGGAGAATGTCCCCAGAGGAAGCTAAAGTTAGATGGGGGCAGGGAAGGGAACCAATTGAAACAGAGCAACTACATGGAGCCCGTGTTAGACATTTTACATAGTTATCATTTCCTTTTGCTCCCGTGTCTAAATAGCAGCAACCACTGCTAGTGGTTTTTTTTTTTTTTTTCTTTATCACTTTATGTTGGTCACCTTTCCTTATCTCTTGGCTTCTCCCGACACGCCTTGCAATGTTGGCAGGGTAGATATAACCACTCAGGGCACGTATATGAGGAAATAGAAATCCTAAGAAGCGACTTGGCTGGGTCCACCAAGCCCCTTTGTGGTGAGGCCAATACTATTTACACTAGTTTCTAAATCTTATTTTTCATTATCTATTTTTCCCACTTGGTTGCGACACTCCACTGTCCACGCTGTGATTGCACATTTGTGGAAGTATAGAAATAGATCTTCTTGACAAAGGTTTATGAAATGGATATAAGACCTTGTAACTACTCCAACTGGAGTTTGGGGAAAACAGATACAGCTGGCAGAGGTATTCAGACCATTAAAAATAGTCTTAATTTAATTTTAAAAAAAAGACCTTAAATAACATACACCTATTATAACCACACACAGGAATACTTTTATTTATAACTTTTTGTATATCTTATGGATACCTTTATATATTAAGGTGTTATTTGGATATACCTTTATGTATACCCAAATGGAGAACAGATACTCCATGTTTTCCATAAAACCATAGAATATTCTCAAAACTTAACTAGATCACAAACTATAGGTCAGCACTTTTTTTTTTTTTTTTCTTTTTGAGACAGGGTCTCACTCTGTTGCCCAGGTTGGAGTGCAGAGGCATAGTCACAGCTCACTGCAGTCTCAGCCTCCTAGGCTCAAGTGATCCTCCTGCCTCAGCCTCCTGTGTAGGTGAGACTACAGACACATGCCACCACACCTAGCTAGTTTTTAAATTCCTTGTAGAGATGGGGTCTCATTTTGTTGCCCAGGCTTAGGTCAATGCATTTTAAAAAGCAGAACTCATGCAGACTACATCACCCATCAAAATACAATAAGCATAAAATTAACAACAAAAATTTCTCCTGATTAATACCATTGGAAATTTAAAGATGATTTGAATCTGTATTAAAAAGCACGAATGGGAAAATTACAAACTCTTTAGAAACAGAAGAAAAACAAAAACCCTACATAACAAAATTGAAAGAGTACAGAAAAGCCAAACAATCTATGAAATTATACACTAAATGTATTTATCACAAAACAATGTACAAAGAGACTTAGAAAAAAATGCAAAAGAATTATGTTAACTGATAAAAATAACAGCAGAAAATAATGAAGTTGGAAAGTATAAAAGTGAAAACAAAAACGAAAAAGGAGACTTGATCAATAAAATTAAAAAAAATAAACTCCACAGCTTCTGCACAGCAAAAGAAACAATCATTAGAGTGAATCGGCAACCCACAGAATGGGAAAAAATTTTTGCAATCTACCCATCTGACAAAGGATTGATATCCAAAATCTACAAAGAACTAAAACAGATTTACAAGAAAAAAACAAGCCCATTCAAAAGTGGGCAAAGGATATGAACAGACACTTTACAAAAGAAGACATACATGAGGCCCACAAACATGAAAAAATTCTCATCATCACTAGTCATTAGAGAAATGCAAATCAAAACTACATTGAGATACCATCTCACACCAGTCAGAATGGTGATCATTAAAAAATCTGGAGACAACAGATGCTAGAGAGGATGTGGAGAAATAGGAACACTTTTACACTGTTGGTGGGAGTGTAAATTAGTTCAACCATTGTGGAAGACAGTGTGGCGATTCCTCAAGGATCTAGAAATAGAAATTTCATTTGACCCAGCAATCCCATTACTGGGTGTATATCCAAAGGATTATAAATCTTTCTACTATAAGGACACATGCACACGAATGTTCATTGCAGCACTGTTTACAATAGCAAAGACCTGGAACCAACCCAAATGCCCATCGATGATAGACTGGACAGGGAAAATATGGCACATATACGTTTTTGATGGCACAGCCATCAAAAACGATGAGTTTGTGTCCTTTGTAGGGACATGGATGAATCTGGAAACCATCATTCTCAGCAAACTGACACAAGAACAGAAAATCACCGCATGTTCTCACTCACAGGTGGGTGTTGAACAATGAGAACACATGGACACAGGGAAGGGAGCATCACACACAGGGGTGTGTTGGAGGGAAATAGGGGAGGGACAGCGGGGTGTGGGGAGTTGGGGAGAGATAGCATGGGGAGAAATGCCAGATATAGGTGATGGGGAGGAAGGCAGCAAATCACACTGCCACATGTGTACCTATGCAACAATCTTGCATGTTCTTCACATGTATCACAAAACCTAAAATGCAATTTAAAAAAATAAAATAAAAATATGAATAATAAAAATAAAATAAAAAAGTATTCTCTGGAAAGATCAAGAAATAAACCTAGAAAAGATCAAGAAGCAGAGAAGACACAAATAACATTAGAAAGGAAAGATGGTATATAACCATATATAAGGATGATATTAAAAAATTTTTTAATCAATTTATTTTTATTTTATTTTGTCCATGAGAAGGAACCTTCTTTTCTTCTGATTACTAGAACTTGTGAGATAATAATTAACACTACAGCTTGTGCAAAGGGGAATGAAAGTTGAAGAACCAGGCAGCATTGTTTAGAATATGATAGTTTAAGAACATAAAGTAATGGTAATTGTATCAAATGAACATTTTAACCAGGACTTTTATCATCAGTATTATAAAGTTCCTATTGTATAACTAAAAAACACACTGCTGGAGTAGAAAATTTTCAAAAGTAACCATCACTAGTGTGTACTCCCTTAGGTAACCTGAGATGTCTGGAGACAGATATTATAGGGAAAGGAATGGGTCCACTTCGTAAAACTGTGTTTAGGTTTTTGGGGATGACTCTTGAGTCTACAATATCAGGAAGAAGCAAGGAAGTCATGGGAGAATCCACTTAAAATGACCCATAGTCAGCTACCCAATCTTGTATGCATTTGCTGAGGGAGGTCTTGCTTTTAGCGGATTAAAATTCAAGCATAAAATGTGAGTTTTTCTCAGGCTTCCAAACCTGACTGTGGTGAAAAGAATATGGACTTTGAAGAAAAACAGCTCTGGATTCAAATCTTAGCTCTTTCTACTAATCAGTTCTGTAGTCTGAGACAAATTAGCCAGTATCTGTATACTTAGATTTTCCAACCATGAAGTAGGAATAATATTGACTTCAAAGGGTTCTTTTGAAGGTTAAAGGAAACACCATTTACAAAGTACTCATCATATGGTTCCTGCGGAACCCCCAACCCCCATTCTGCCTTTCATAAATGCCATCTTTTAGTAATTTATCTACTGGCCATTCACATTTCTTCTGTTTTGTCACTGGGATGCTATCCTTCTTCCCTTCCTTTCAGTGACCCATGTGCCTACTCCATGACTTACTAACAATCAGAGAAATCCAAGCATCATTACTGAGTACCCTGGGGATGCCTTGGAAAGATCCTCTTAAATCTAAAAATAACTTGGCCCCTTTCTTACAAGGTGTAAATGGCAAAATCAGGCCTGCTTCTTTATTTCCTTCCTGCCTGCTCCCCACCTTATTTTTACTTGCCACATTTTTTTGAGTTTCTATGAAGCTATGCATGAGTGACATTCCCCAACTCACTGTTTCCTATTTAACAAGCATGTGTATGCTTAGACTGAAATCTTTCGCTGGGGAAATACCCTAACCTTGCAACATTGTAAAATTTAATATTAGCATAAAGATCATATTAATAATAATCAGTAAAGAGAGTCAGTAGTTTCTTCTAAAAATTGGGGAAAAAAAACCGCATTCCATTAAGGGACTAATGTTGATGTCTGCATTAATCACTAACAAAAATAAGAGATTTATCAGAATAGGCACAAGTTTTGCCTTTTGATAGCCTTTCCCTGTCTAGCACCAGAGAGCTCAGGAGTAGCAATAAGACCAGTTTAACAAAAGATTTTCTGCACCATTTATTCTAAAGCAGACTTTAAAAAACATTATTTTTATATTACATTATTGTTACATACAATGTCCACTTTGGTGTAGCTATGTCTATTCAGGCAAGACAAAGAATACAATGGAAAGTCAACTTAGCCAAGAGAGAAGAGCGAGGCTCTACTAATCATATTAGATAATATCCCCCCTTAGCACCTCTTATCCTCTTTTATTGATCTCATCTTCATAGGAGAAAAAAGAAATAAAACTAGTAATCGATGAGGATATTTGAAAGTAAAAACAGAAATTTGAGGCAGATTTCATTTACTTCTTTTTGGTTTGCTTTTACAAGGTGCAAATTAACTCTTATTTCTTTTAAACCTTGTTATATTAGCATTGTTTGTTTATTTTTTTTGATGCCATAAAGATACTACTAGTCTCCCAGAGTAGAAATCTTTATAACATTCAGTAGAATTTGAAGGGTATTTGAAGGGATTGTCATATGGTAATGGAGTTTACATGTTCTTACAGCAACTAGCTATGCACCTCTGGTGTACTAGCTAACTTCTTAACCATTTTAAAATGTCCAGTGTAGTGGCATTAAATACATTCATAACATTCTGAAACTATTACCACCATCTCTTTCAATAATTCTTATAATCTTATAAAACTGAAATTCTTTACTCATTAAACAGCAACTCCCCATTCCTCCCTCCACACAGCCCCTGGCAACCACCTATTCTACTTTCTATCTCTATGATTTTAACTATTCTGTTTCATATCAGTGTGATTATACTGTATTTGTCTTTTTGTGGCTGGTTATTTCACTAGAAAACTGTTCTCAACATGTATCCATGTTGCAGCACAGGGGTCCCAAGAGATCTAGATTGCATACTCCTAAGACTCTAATGCCCGAGGATCTGAGGTAGAACAGTTTCATCCTGAAACTGTTCCTCCCTTCCCCATCTCCCTGTCTGTGGAAAAGCTGTCTTCCA